CACTTGCCATTCCTGAGGCTACACTAATGCCTTTTTTACCTTGCAGGTAAGAAATGCCATTGTTCTGGTGTGCAGCTAAAGGCGCAGCACAGGCTGGCTTTGCCTTCCTCTCCATGAAAACAGCCAGAAAATTTTTGCATTTGAATGGGAAAATCCCAAAACTGGACGTAATACTCAGCTCACATGGTGTGTACTACCCCAGGGGTTCAAGAACTCCCCTACCATATTTGGAGAACAGCTGGCAAAAGATCTAGAATCCTGGGAAGTTCCATCAGGAGAAGGACAGCTGTTGCAGTATGTGGACGACCTCCTGATAGCTACTAAGACTCAAGAAGCATGTATGGAGTGGACGGTAAGCCTCCTAAATTTCTTGGGTCTACAGGGGTATCGAGTATCCCAGAAGAAAGCCCAGATGGTGAGATGAACACTTGTCTATTTGGGCTGTGAGATTAGTGCTGGACAAAGAACCTTGGGACAAGATCGCAAGGAAACAATATGCCAGACCCCAAAACCCCAAACAGTGAAAGAACTGAGAACCTTCTTGGGCATGACAGGGTGGTGCAGACTGTGGATTTACAATTATGGCCTGTTAGTCAAATCCCTATATGCCTTGGTTATGGAAGGAAGCAGAGATCTCCAATGGATGAAAGAAATAACACGAGCCTTTGACCAACTAAGAAGGCCCTCATGTCAGCTCCAGCCCTGGGACTTCCAGACGTGAGTAAACCATGCTTTCTGTTTTCTCACGAAAAGCAGGGGATTGCTCTGGGAATACTAGCACAAGACCTAGGCCTGTACAGGAGGGCAGTCACCTACCTCTCCAAACAGCAGGACACAGCAGCCAAGGGGAGATGTGTTTCCTAGATACATTGTAAATGGTACATCCTGTGACCCCTGCTGTGCCCTGTATCTTGGTCCCTCTCCCCTCCTGGCCACACAGAGCTGGCTGGGATCCAATTTCTCCCCGCCCCCCCTTTCCAGACCCTAGAAAAGGTCAGTACCCTCTGGCCTCGCTCGCTGACCCCCGTCCTTTTTCTCTTACCCCATCTTTTTTCTCTTACCCTGCTTTTTCCCTCTCTTTTCTCTCTTCCCCTGCTCTCTTACCCTGCACTTTTCCCTCTTCCCCCGCTCTTTTCCCTTCCCTTTTTCACTCACTACCCACGAGAAACAAACCTGTAACTTTATTAGGGGAAAGAGCCTCTTTTGATATCTTAACTACGTCCCTGAGGCTAGGGCCCAGGGGAATTTCACCCTAACACCTGAGCTAGACCGGAGGAAGGGTGAAAGACCCTATTTTGGGGCCGAGAAAAAGCCTACAAAGGGGTGGCCAAGATGCCTCAGAGAGGCACACAAATTCACCCAAGGCCAGAAGATGACCATGATAGTATCCCACACAGTGTCTGCAGACCTGGAGGTGAAAGAGGGACATTGTCTTTCCCCACAGGGACTCCTGAAGGACCGGGCCATACTAGTAGAACAAGATGATGTTGAAATTGTGGTAACTAACACTGTCAATCCAGCTTTTTTCCTCAGCAAAAGCATGGAAGAACCACTGATCCATGAATGCCTAGAGACCACTGAAGCCACTTACTGGAGTTGCCCAGATCTGAAGGATACCCCTCTCGAAGACACTGAGACATGGTTAACTGATGGGAGCAGCTATATCATTAGTGGAAAAAGACACGCTGGGTATGCAGTTACCACAAGCAGGGAGGCAATAGAGTCTGGACCATTGCCAACAAATACCTCTGCATAAAAGGCTGAAATAATCACTTTAACCCAGGCCTTAGAGCTAGCTAAAAGAAAATAAATCAACATGTATACAGACTCAAGGTATGCATTTGGAGTGGTTCATGCACATGGAGATATTTGGAAAAAAGAGGACTGGTGAACTCAAAAGGAAAAATTATTAAACATGCAAAAAAAAAGTATACTAAAACTATTAAATGTTGTTCAGTTACCTGAAAAAGTAGCTATTATGAACATCAAGGCACACCAAAAAGTGAGTTCTGAATTGGAAAAAGGAAATGAGCTGGTGGACAGAAAGGCAAAAAAACAGCTAAAGGTAAGTTAATTATTAAAACAATTGAGGCAGCTCAATTCTAGATGGGCAAATTTCTATGGAAGTGTCCTGGTTTAGGGCAAATTTGGGGGAAAACCTCCAGAAGGAGCCCCCAGACAGCAAACCCCACGACTCCCCCACCACCACCACCGGGTTCGGGAAGAATTTCCTCAGAGAAGAGTGGGAAAAAAAACCTGTTTATTTAACAAGCAAAACACTCCCCAGCACAGGGAAAAAAACAACACCAGCTGACAAAAAAACTCTTTCACCGTTCTGAAGGGATGACAAACTCAGTCTCTCCGGCGAGTGGTCGCCCAGTTATCAGTCTCCGGCGCTGGGGAATGACTGCTGCCGGTGACAGAGTGTAGACTCCCGGTGTTTCTTGGGGTT